TTATTATTATTTATATTGGGCGGCAAAGACCATTGTCTCAGCATGCAGGTTGACAGTTTGGAACTTCTGATATTTTGGATTTCAGATAACGGATGTTCAGCCTGTACTGAATTAGATTAAGGGTTTCAGTGAAAGGTTCTTGCTCCTTCCCTGCCTCCATTACCAAGTCTCAGCAATAAGTAGTTTTAATGCAATTTGGTCAGGTGTAGTCCAGAAAAGCATATACAAAGAAATCTGGAACAAGGCACAGCCAAAAGCATCTCTCCAGAACAATACAGCTTATTAGTTGCAACAGCAGCACATTTAGAAATTATGAGTGCCCACAGAGTGCCATGCATCAGTGGTCACTGGCCTTTTTAAAGCACAGACACATAATTTTTAACCCAACTATTATTTTGTTTTACGATCAAACCATGCAGACAAAACCCAGTCTGTCTCCGGAGAATCTCACACAAATACTTACAGAGCGGCAGCACCAGAAATGATCTCAATCAGTTCCTTGGTGATGACAGCTTGGCGGGTGCGATTGAAGGTCAGAGTCAGCTTGTCAATCATCTCAGCTGCCAAGAGAGAAGGAACATGTCAGGTGGCGCCATGGGGGAAAAATCAGATGTTCATAATTTCTACTTTTTGATTTGATTTAAACATTACTTGCCTGTCTACACTTACAAATAGAATACCAAGTCTGCAAACTTTGTTTTTTGTTCTTTTGTTTTTAATGCAATACAACTGTTTTGGTTCGCTCCTGACACAATAAATAAATACCCTTACAAAATATCAAGGACTTGGATACAACTAACTAATTTTTTCCTGAAAACCAGAGCATTCAAAAGCTGGAACTATTCCATGCATATGATCAAATTATGCTTCTCCTGTTTACATAAAAAGATCTATATAATTCAAGGTATTTTGATTGTTTCTCCTTTCTTCCCAAAATGGTTTGCTTCCTTCTCTTTTCTTCCCATTGAAATCCACAAGCATGTTTTCAACAGAAAAGAAGAAACCGTGGAAATGAACAAAATCTGGCTACTAGTATTAAATAAATGCTAAATCAGGACAGTAAATAAAGAGCAATAATAAAAAACAGGGGAATTCCAGACAGGAAACAATCAGGGCCAGCAAATCACCTCCCAACAAATAATTCCCCCAGGCAGGAAGCAGCCAAGCATTGAAGCTGCAAGGCTATTAAATGTTAATCAAGGTGATCAATTGCAACATTCACACTTAAGAGTTCTTTCTCCCACCCTGGACATTCCACAGATATGTAAACCTCACTTGCCCTAGTTTCCAACAGACCTCACAAGCTCTGATTACGCTTCCATAGATGTGGGTGAAACGTCAGGAGAGAATGCTTCTGGAACATGGCCAGACAGGCCGGAAAACTCACAGCAACTCAGTTTTAGAGCTTTGTTTGAGGAGGAAGCATTATGAGGCTTCTTTCTGCCTCAAGTCACACAACCGTAAGAGTCAGCATTAAGGACTCTTTTACCAATGTTACATAATTTTCTTGTCTCTTGCTACTTTTTTACTTCACTTGTTTTCCTAACAACAATAAAAGTGTTTTTATCTTTTTAACCTTGCCAAATTATCCTGTCTATTTTTCACTCTTGTTTTTTACCATAAGCCCATTTGTATCACTGGCGACGCTACTCTCTACTCTTCTGTAGATACCAAACAATCCTATATACAGAACCATCACAGAAGTGGAAAAACCACAAATAAAGAAATACAATTTTAAACCTGAGAAAACACCACTTTAAGAATCTCTGGGTCCTTCAGGGTAACTCTATGATCAAGTTTCACCAGAGAACTTAACAAGATTGCTGGAGATAAAATATAACTCAAATCCACAAATAATCAAATCTGCAAAAGTTCAATCTACAGATGTGAAGATCTGACATCTTTCATAGGCATTTCCCATCCCATTCCATTCTGAGTAACACATTTTGTATCGATAGATATAGAGGACAGTGGGTGGCAGGTGACATTTGTGAAATCAATATTCAAACTTTCAAGATGACATGGTCATATGTCAAAAGATAAAACTCTCTCAAATATGGAATTCTGCTTTCTTGCTTTTGTTTACAGTTGGAAGATTCTGCTAACACACAACACAGCATGGTGCAAACCCCATGGATTTCTCCTTACAGGCATTTTTGCTTGCATTGTCCATGGCAGTCATCCGAGCGCTTTGTTCGCTTGTGGTAGATTCCTTCAGTGAATAGAAAATGATGTTTGCCAATGTGAATTCCTGATAGTTTCGCAGGACATCTGCATCAATGTCATCATAGATACTAATGCTTTCTGCAGAAACAAAAGCAAGAATGAACAACGGAAATGTATTACAATTTTGGAATGTATCAGGTACAGGATGTTAGAAGTCAAATGCAAGCACAGTTTCAAAGACATTTCCAATTATTTTTCATTCCTAAATAATAGGACACCAACAGACTTTCAGCTTATACACTTCTATGGTCACAAAGATTACAGCATTTCTACAGCATTAGTTTGAACCTTCCCTACTTGAAAATGTGGTTCTGAAACTTCAATTTGCACAAAATGCAGCGAAATTGGAGAGTTGATTCAATCATGCCACACTGCATTTAAAGCAGTTGCCAATCAGTACCAATACATTACCAAAATTAATTCAAAATTATAGTGCCCACCCTTAAGCTTTTAATTGTTTTGGGACCAGATTGCTGAAATTTTTAGAAATCCTGTTGTAGTGATTCTATTGATACAAGCTAAGATCACAATCACATAAACCTATTTATTTATTTGTTTGTTTGTTTGCAGTATTTGTCTTCTGCCCTTCTCACCCCAAAGTGGACTCAGGGTGGATCACAGAACACTAATACAGCAACATTCAATGTCAATTATACAATGACAAGACAGACAACAGATAGAAGTACGATATAGGCTCTTCCCAATCTTTCTGGCATCTTTGGAGACAGTGCTCGGTTTCATGCCTAAAATACCTCCCTGCTTTAATGTGGTTCCTATTTATCTACTCACATTGCTATTCTCAATCTGCTAGGTGGGTGGGAAGCTGAACTGAAGGACAGGAAGACTCGCCCTCAACTGACCCAGCTTCAGAAACTTTCTCCAGATGGTCGGCGCCATTCATAAGCTGCTGCGAAGCATAACATTCAATATAAAAATAAACTTGGGATCTGTAATTCCTGGCATTTAATTCCTGGCATTTAAGAAAGCCTTTAAGAGTCCTTTGCACCACTGCACTTGTTCAGCTAAATGTCTATGATCTAAATAGATGTTCTGCAAATTGTTCCATCCCTTCCTTTCCTCCTTTCTCCCTTGTATATTTTATGAATTTATTTACTTCATATATACCCTGCCTGTCTCACCCCATAGGGGACTCAAGGTGGATTACAAACCCATTCAATGCCGCATATAAACATAACAATAAAAATGTATCCCATTAAACTATAAAACAATTACAACAAATGAGCAAATAAATCACACAGAACAATAAAACATTTATACTCACACACACACACACACATAAGCACACAAAGTGCTTTGGAAAGGCTTGACCCTGATGAGTTTCTAACAACTAGGGAGGGGAAAAACACTGCCAACTTGCCAAAAGCTTCATCTGGACTTACCAGAACCAGAAACGGTGTCAAGAGAATAGATTGGCTTCTCATCTGTCCTGTAGGAAATGACAGACCTATGGAAAGAAGAAAGCTGACTTGTGATATACTATATGGGCCCCATATCTGCAGGACTTGTATCCACAGCATGTGGCAATATACATCTTCTGCAATCATTTCTAGCTCTTCCAGCATGGTGCTATGGTATTCTTGAGCCAGCTGTTAGCTGTGGTTTTGCATATTCACACAAAGCCCCAGAATGCATCCACTATGTATATAGGAGAGGAAAGAGGAGGGGAGGAATGTTGGAGTGAATGCCAAGGAGAGAAATATTTGAAAGAAAATTGCACAAAATTCCTATTTCTCTTGCCTGAACCGATTATAGATGACAGATCCTTCATCAAACTCATAGCCAGAATTCAGCAGCTCTAAGGCAATTATTGATGCATCTCCAAAGGTGGGAGGCTTTCTTCCAAGTTCTTTAAAGGTGAACAGGAAGTTTTTGCCATGCGTCCTAAAATAAAAAGTAAATCAGTAAATGAAGAACGTTGATCAAAACAACACATTTTTCTTATTTTATTTCTACGCTCTCTGCATGAGTCTGCTTCTGGGAATTGTCCAGAGATATCTGGGCCAAAAGGCTAATGCCTCTTATTGGGAAGATGAAGCTCTCCTCCTGAGATAAATTCTAGCTTCAAATGTCTTTCTTTGCCCCATATTATAATAGCGGTAATGGTCTGTTTCATTTATAATCTTTGAAGAAAAGTGGCACAAGACAGATTCAAAATACAGAAAAACATCTTATCTAATTTCTAAGCCGAAGAGCTAGCGTTGTCCGTAGACACCTCCAAGGTCATGTGGCTGGCATGACTGCATGGAGCACCGTTACCTACCTATTAATCTACTCACATGTACCTATTGATCTACTCACATTTATGTTTTCAAACTGCTAGGTTAGAAGTAGCTGGGCTTAACAGCCGGAACTCACCCTGATCCCCTAAATTGAACTGCCAACCTTCCAGTCAGCAATTTCTGCAGCTTAGCGGTTTAACCCGCTGCACCTCCAGGGGCCCTATTTCCATTGTTCTATTACTATATTTATATTTATTTATACCCCGTTTTATCTCTCCCGAAGGTGACTCAAAGTGGCTTAACATAAAAGAATTAGTACACAATTTA